TTCTCAATTACAGTTCACGTTTAGTTCTCTTTATTTCAAAGTTTTAATAATTCAATTTTTAAGTTTTTGCGCACAAATTAAATTTTTCGCTGCTTCTGCGTGTATATAAAAAACCGAAGTGACAATAAAAAAAATGGCTGTGCCGATTGGCAATCGCTATTCAGCAATATTAACAAGTACTGCCATTAACAAGTATTGAGGGATTCCAACTACGGCAACCCTTTGCCCTTTGTTTACATTTCTTCTTCGTACAGCTAAATGCATATTGCAACTTGAACACATATTGGTATGTATAGGACTTCAAGAAATAAATACAATAGGTTCAATTAAATACACCTTTTTCTTAATTATAGGTTGGAACGTGTGGTTGCTGATCTCGCGTAGACAACAACAATTAGTTTTTATTCCAGCTTTGCAAAATTTGACTTTTTCACTGCTAACATATAGATGTTTGCAAAAGGTGCAAAATTTTTATTAAAACTTAAAGCGTAAAGTGATATTATAATCAAAAGAAATGTATTCGATTTACCCTTCCTTTGATGTATGTTTACAGTTTTCAATCATTTATAAACTTAATTTTCTGATGGTGCCCCTGGCGATAAAGGTGCTGGCGTTGAAGGTGCTGATGGTGAATGCCAAATTTGTAAACAAACAAAAATATCAATTAAAATTTATAAACATATATAAAATCTCAATATATACCTTTAGAATGTAGCTAAGTCGCTGATGTTTTGCAATATAAAAGAAAAATTACATTTTAATCAAATAAAATTGTTAAATATGTATACTTACCTACAAAATTTTCTCAAAGTGACATTTCTTCACAATATGTACACTGCCATCAAAACTCCGATGTTTCTAACATGCTCGCTCTAACGCATGGAATTCTAATCGGGTACGCAGCTCTAACAAAAGGAAATTTTTTTGACAGTTCCAACAAAAAATTTGTAAGTGTGTGGGTGAGATGACAAAAAAGTTGTGAATGTGTTTGAATTTCTGGGAAAGTGGTGAGCCGTGGCTGGCAGGGTATGTGGCGGCATTTGTACTTTCGCAAACTTTGTACTTTAATGCAACCCTGCGCTAATTTTTGAGTTGTAAAATAAAAATCAATCTGGCATCACTAAAATTGTTCATCTTCCCTTTTTTCTTTCTGGATGTCATCACAGTTGGACGTTCTTGCCGGAATATCAACGCGAACTATTAACCTTATTATCTTATAAACGACTAAGCAATATTTTAAGCAATAAAGCATTTTAAATATTATTCGGCTGTTTGGTTTATTTAAACGAGTTCTTTGTGAGGTAACTCAACACAAAACCTCCAAACTGGTGACCCCGACGTGATCGGTAAGCACGTGCACACAAGTAGCCATTTTGAGGTAAGAGTAAAATGGTGGACAACGTTTTGCCACCAGGAGCATCTCAAACTCCTTCGCCTAAACTTGGAGAAACAATGGCATACCCTAACTCCATTGCCGTAGTATATGCCAGACTTCCAATACCACCGATGGCAAGCATCAACATAGAGGTCTGGTTTACCTCTATGGAATTTTGGTTCACCGCTTCGGGCATTACGGCTGATAAGCAGAAAACGGCAACAGTGTTAGCAGCTCTCGACCCAAACGTCTTAAGTCAACTGGGCGACGTCTTGCAGCGCTCCAACAAAACGAAAGATTCGACTACGTTAAGCAAAAAATAATCGAGGATTTTGCCGATAGTGAACAGCGGCGGCTCAACCGGGTACTTTCGGAACTACCTCTTGGCAACAAGAAGCCGTCCGAGCTTTTCTTTGAGATAAGGCGCGTCGCAGGCAATACTCTTGGTGATGCTGCTCTCAAAAGCCTCTGGATTAAGCGCTTACCAGAGTTCGCGCAGCCAGTAGTAGCAGATTCGTCTGGCTCATCCGCGGAGTACACGAAGATAGCTGACTCCATAGTAGACGCCATCGCACCTCAGCAGCTCAATCGCGTTAAGTCAACACCCTCCAGCGAGATTCATGAACTACGCGCTGTTGTTTTGGAACTTGGCAAAAAATTCGACAAGCTCACAACTCGCTCACGCTCGCAAAGTCGTAGGCGAACAAACCCATGACAGAATTCAAACGCTCTCGACAGCTCTAAATGTGTTACATCTTCGCGAGAATCATCTTCAGTACGAGACTGTTGGTATCATCTAAAATACGGACGAAATGCCAGGAAATGCCGCAGTCCTTGCCGCCAGAGCAAACGTGCTCTTCGAGCGGTATCGTCCGAACCATCCTGACTATTGAAGGGCGTGGCGGATTGCAACGAGGGTCCCGTCACAGAGCGCAAAGTACTTCGTCTGCAGGTGCACGAACGACATACAGGCAAAACATTTCTCGTCGACACTGGTGCCGACGTATCGGTGCTACCCATGTCTGCAAAGCCCTATGACATTCGACCAACCGCAACAAAACTCTACGCTGCCAATGGTTCCGCCATCAAAGTCGTCGGAGAGAAACGAATCAACTTGGACTTGGGCCTTCGTCGGAATTTCTCGTGGTCCTTCATAGTTGCCGATGTCACAACCACAATAATCGGCGCGGACTTTATTCGCTTTTACGACTTGCTCATCGACTTGCGTCGTAACCGAATCATAGACAACCTCACGAAACTTCGATCATCTTTGACTGCGCCAACGCTATGCAAGGCAACCGAAATCAAAACATTCGACTCCACCGACCCGTTCGCCGATCTGTTGTCCGAGTGTTCGGAGATCACGAAGCTGGCGCCTCATGGTTTCCTGACAAAATCGACAGTCGTCCACCGCATTTTAACAACCTCCCAGCCAGTGTTTTCTAGACCACGACGTCTTGCGCCTGAGAAACTGACAGCTGCACGTAACGAGTTCAACTTTTTACTTAAGGCGGGCATATGTCGACCGTCCAACTGGTCAAGCCCGTTGCATATGGTGACGAAAAGCGACGGCACCTGGAGGCCATGCGGGGACTCCGCGCACTCAATGCGCAAACGTTGCCTGACCGATACCCCTTGCCGTATCTAACCGACTTCACGTCGAATTTACAAGGCATGACAGTGTTTTCAAAAATCGATCTCCAACGTGCCTTCCACCAAGTACCCATCCACGAGGATGATATAGCTAAAACGGCAATCACGGCGCCATTCGGGATCTTCGAGTTTAGGTTTATGACATTCAGCCTCTGCAACGCTGCGCAGATATTTCAAAGGCTCATAAATGAAGTAGATTATACGTTTCCCTACATCGATGACATTTGCATCACTTCGCCGTCGGTCGAGCAGCACAAGCAAGATTAACGCGAAGTTTTCAAGCGCCTCCGGGACAATAATCTGGCAATAAACGTTTCCAAATGCGAGTTTGGTAAGAGCGAGTTGAAGTTTTTAGGGCACCTGGTCGACGCTAGAGGCATACGTCCTCTACCTGAGAGGATAGCAGCGATTCGCGATTTTCCGAAGCCCACAGTAGCAAAAGAACTGAAGAGCTTCATCGCCATGGCAAAATTCTACCGCAAATTCCTACCGAACGCTATCGAGTACCAGTTCCACCTTCAACAGCTAATTACGGGCAATAAGAAGAACGACCGTACAATTGTCGTGTGGAACAGTGAAGCCGAAGACGCCTTCGATCGTTGCAAATCAGAACTGGCGAAAGCAACATTACTGGTGCATCCGTCACCCGGCGCTGAGTTAGCCTTATACGTCGACGCTTCGGACCCCGCTGTCGGAGCCGCATTGCACCAACTCCAAGGTGGAGAACTTCAGCCACTCGGCTTTTATTCGAAGAAGCTGACCAGCGCGCAACGTAAATATAGTACGTACGACCGTGAGCTGACCGTGGAATACCAAGGCGTATGTCACTTTCGGTACATGATCGAGGGTCGAAATTGCCAAATTGTCACCGATCATCGCCCGCTAGTATACGCCTTTCGCCAGAAGCTAGAAAAAGCTTCACCTCGTCGCGTAAGGCAGTTGGATTTCATTGGTAAATTCACGACCGATATTCGACACGTACCCGGTGCAGAAAATTCCACAGCAGACCTGCTCTCTCGCATGCAAGCAATCGAACAAATTATTGATACGTTAAGGTCGCAGCCGCGCAGCAAGCTGACACTCTGAAAGGCTTTTGCGCATTTCCCACAAAAATCCTCCATAATAAAAACGAAAGAAAAGCAAATGGAAATAGCAGCAAAAAACACGTCGAAACACAACGGCAGATCAGACAATTTATATAATTTAGTATAAAAACTAATTACATTCTCCAATTCAATTGGTACATTTGTTTTTGCGGTTGAAACAAAGTATCACTGTTATTTTGTATGCCTTGGTTTGTATATAATATTGCTGCAACTATATCAGTGCTCAATCTGGTCCTCAAGTCAGTCCTATACACTCCAACTACTAAATACACGTTCTACTGAAACATCAGAAAAGGGCTATATTAGTAATATAATTTTTTTTAATTGGGAAACTTATATGAACCTGAAGATTCTTTTAATTCAAAAACTTTCTTCCTATAATTTTCTAGATCTAATGAAGAATCAACATGAATATCCTTATGATCGAACAATGCGGGTTCTCTCCATTCGTTACCGAGATTTTGCAAGTTCAAAATAAGTTGAAAATATAACGATGGAATCAAAAAAATTATCGATAACATTTTGAATATTTAGCAGCAAATGCAATGTGCTTAAGAGCGAAAAATGCCACACAAGCGGCTTGACAAACCAAGCGAAATACCCTTTTGCTTAAAGCTATTAATGGTGTTTGAGTCATATTTTTCACATTCACGAATGCGAATGCGAATTTTCGTAGCGCGAATGTGCGAATGCGAATGTTAGGAATAACATCAAAAAAACTATAGGCTGCATTTCTTAATTCATTCTGAACGTTTGGAATAAACGTTTTTGTTTTCTTATTCTTTAGAACGTTCCTGATGATATGTTAACGTATATTTCAAACGCATTCTGTTTATTCCGGCTGTGAAATGGGATTATCCGGAATGTATAAAGAAACGCAGCCATAATGAACTTAAGTGATCGTTTTTTTATATTTAATATTTAAAAAATGTGTATGTTTTAATGTCAAATATGTTAATAGTCAAAGTTCAAAAGGGGCATATTATGTTTCAAAAATACTAATTTTGCTGCCTTTTCTTCCATGAGGCGATTTCTTAAACGCTCGTATATAAGGCTGGCTGCACGGAACAATTGCTCACTTGGTACGCTGGCGGGTGGAAAGCTCAAATATTGCGGGCCATATCTGTCAATTTCACCTATTTTAGTTTAGTTTTCCACCAATCGAGAGGATTTTCACCGAGATGAGCGCGTTTTTCATTAAGATAGGTCTTCAATTGAGCTTTAATTTCACATTTTTTAATGTCTCCAGATTCTACATCCGAGGCTTCGCTTTCGTTGGAGGAATCTAAAATTATTTCTAGGTTGCTTATAAGACTTTTAGCAGTACTTGATATACTACTTAGCGTTTAGCTAAGAAAAAAGATTTTCCGTACGCTTCAAAGGCAGTTAAAAAATGCGTGTAATTTTCGTCACGAAATTTATATCATACATTTTGTGTTTCTAGTTCAGCTTTCGTCACTCGAAAATTTTACCTCAAAGAGGTGTTTTATTTGATATCGATATTAAAATCGACGAAAATACAAACAATAATCTAAATGTTTTATTTTTCTCAAATAAATTGCTAAAAATATTATCTAAATCTAAATTATGTATTCAAATCGATTTTTCCATTGAAACACATAATTTTTCGAATACGGAATAAAGCGAAAAAGAATGATCATATCCTTTGTATTCGAAAAAATAAAAAATAAAAATATGAGAAATGATAAAAACTTATCAACTTGGTAGCAACTTTGGATACAATAAACAACTGTATTCGTCTGATAGTCTCGTAGTTTATTTTGGGTAAGATTTCTCCGGGGTGTGGGGCGCACACATGTGCTTTTTAAAGAAGTGTTCCTTCTATCACGTGTACGGTGTTGCACTCGTGCTATTAAACTAATGCTTTTTTCTCAAGTAGTTTTGCTCAGTGGCAATTTACATATGTATGTACGTAGTAGCGGTACATTGGGTGATTGCTGATATCCACAGCAATGACATGGACTGAGTAGTGCGGCCTCAGTGGTAGTTTAAAAAATTGAATTTTTTCGAATTTCAGGCAGCAGCCACGCCCACAAAGGCATACGAATCAAAACATCCTGGAACAAAACCTTCTTAGTTTTTTTTTTACTTTAATTCCTAAAAGTTTGAAAAAAATTAAATGATGGTACGTACAGACGCCACATACATACCAAAGCATCTCGTAGTGGAGACACGAACCAAAACACATTTACCTCTATACCTTTCCAACTAGTAGCCGGAACTTAATATGTAAGGTACCGTTTGAAAGGTATTGGCCTATAGAATAACACTAAGGGCCGGTTGTTGAATGTATGATTAGCACTAATCGGAGGTAGAAGCTCTGGTTATATACAACGACTGCTTTATCGATCACATGTTATATGCATGATGTCGAAAACGTCGATAATGATGTTTAACCGGCAAGTAGTGATAACCAGACATTGAACAACCGGCCCTAAATATGTTGGGTGTACCCACATGCACCCTTAAACAGGCAAAAGCAAAAAAACGTTTTTTGTTTCGCAATACTTCAGCCAAATTTTTAAGAATCCAGTTAATCGTTTATAAAGCTTGAATACATTTTCTGGACACACTCTGCAAGACCTTTCCAACGATATCTCAAACATGTCGATTGGATGTCGGGATAAAAACTTCCAAATCTTGTGTATATATAAGCGAGTCATTTCAGCATGCTACTGTGTCTGCTTTCGACACTCGCGCGCACTGCCGTGCGCTGTGATAAAACTATGTGTTTATTTAATAATTAAGTTACATTATATATCTTAATAGTATTTAAAAAGTGAGAACAGGTGATTTAATGATTTTTTTCGGGGTAATTGCCCATACAAAACAACGAAATTTAACAAAAGTTTTTTGTTTATAACTTTTAAGTGGTTAATAATATTAACCTTCCGCCCCGGATTTTTAATACGGGGACCGAAACGCGTCGATTGGTACCCCTCCAGACATTTCCGGACCTTTTTCAGCAATTGTTACCCTATACTAGAGAAATAAAAGAATTACTTATACTATATCAGCCGAAAAAAATTTTTAAGATGTTATCTCACAAAATAACTTCACCATACGAACTGGGGTCTGCACTCTACATGGGTATAGCTATGATACAAAAAAGAATTTGTTTATTTTCCATTAGAGAACCGAAATAGTATGTATGTATGTATGTAGATAGGTTCATTCCTTATCTTTTCGGACTAAAATCTGAAAAGTCTCAAAATGCAAGAGCGTAGGCAAAATGCGCTCACTAAAAGAGAATAACAGGAAAGAGTAAAGGAACGCAAAAAACCAAATTTTTAGTCCAAAGAAGAATGGCAACAACAAAACTAACGTCCAGCAAGAATGGAAATGTATGTACAAAACACATTCACACAAGCACAAGCACAATAAACACTTACTATATCAATTATTTTTTGCCTCCTTCCACTTTTAATTCACTTTTTTTACTTCTTAGATTATTCTCACTTTTTGTGTATTCTTCAAGGACGCATTGTAACGTTAATTTTAGCGTTTACCAAAAAAAAAATCTATCGTTTCTGTTGAAACTATTCATTTTTTATCGTTTAGGTAATTATCAAAATAGTTATGTTTACTTATTAACGAAAAGAAATTCAATCGTTAATGCTGAAGCTGTAGCATGCATTTAAGTGCTAGGTGTTTATAGCTTGCAATGGCATACAACAACAACTTTTCGTTGATTTATTTTGTTTCGATGTTAACGATTGATGATTTATTTTGAATCAACGTTAACGATTGAGTTTTGTTTCGTTAATTCAGTTCTGAGACGAAACAAAATTATTTTGATAAGTTATTTTTGCGCATCAACAAAACGAAATCGATTCATATAGTTTGTTGAGCATCTCTGCTATTCTTT